CAAGCCACTAGAAGCAAGGAAAGAGGCCCCGGACTGAGTCTCCCCGAGAGTCAGCCCTGCCCACAGATACCTTGACCTTGGACTTGTGGCCTCTCGCACTGTCAGAGAAGCTTCTATAGTCCCCGAAAAGAAAGGGCAATAGCCCTTTCAGAAGCACTGTCATAGAAGGCAGCTGTGACCAGTACAAAGGCAGGACTTGACCAGGTCAGAGCCCAGGGAAGACCACCTTGGAGTCCTCGGTTTGGGCACCACTTCCCAGCATCATCGTTCCCAGCAGAGCACAGAGCTCTTGTCGTACCCTGCTAGAACGTTACCAACGCTGTTCCTCACCCTTTGGGGGAGCCAATTCTGGGGAAGCATCTAGACCACCATGCGCCTCTGTAACCTCCTAGGGAATCTTTGTGAGCCCAGGACCCCATAACCAGGATCCCCACAAGCTGAGGTTCAACTGGAGATCCTAAGACCTCATTTGCACATCTTGCTGGAATCATCATTTTACTCAAAAAAGGGTGGGGCTGGTGAGATGGCTCAGAGGTTAAGAGCACTGGCTGCTCTTGCAGAGGACCAGGGTTCAGTTTCCAGCATCCACATGGTGGCTAACAACCGCCCTTAACTCCAGTTTCAAAGGAATCAGATGCCCTCTTCTGAATTCCTCTGGCATTGCACAACACAGGTGCATTTACATACATGCAGGCAATATACTCATACACAAAAAATAATAATAAATGAAATGTTTAAGCTTTCAAAAAATAAATAAAAAATAAAAATAAAATGGGAGAGTAAGCCAGGTGTGATGGCACACACCTTTAGTCCCAGCACTCAAGAGGCAGAGGCAGGTGGATCTCTGTGAGATCAAGGCCAATCTGGTCTATATAGTAAGTTCCAGGCCAGCTGAGGCTACAAGGAGACCCTGTCTCAAAAATAAATTAAAAAATAAAATAAAAATAAATACACAAATAATTAACTAAGTAAATAAATAGGAAGGAAAGATAAGTCACTCAATTGGTAAGCAATGATACAACCACATTACAGGACAGTATATAAAAGTCCTGTGAGCTTTTAAGACAAGAGGAATCAAAAACTCCAGTCCACTGCAGCCCTAAAAGTTAGTTAGACCCACAGGGCTCTTACACTGTTCTTTCCTGCTGCTGATTCACCTAGGCCAAGCAGTGTGGAGAGCAGCCTTCCCTCCAGACCTCAGCCTCCCCTTGGTCCAACGCCTGTTGAAAGACGTAGCTGACCAGGGCTTCCTGGGAGGCCGCTGACGACTGTCCTGGTGTAAAACAGCAAGACACCAGCCATGAATCACTCTTCTCCCTGCTGTCGACCCAGGCAACCTCCTGTAGATGCCACGTAAATACACTTAACCTTTAAAGAGCCCGGGTGCTGCCCAGAGGGAGGGAGGGAGGAGGGGGGAAGGGAGGAGGAGAGGAGAAGGGGAAGGAGGGAGGGAGGAGAGGGGAGAGAGAACCAGCTGGAAAGCCTCACCCCATGGAGGCCTCTCTTCCTTCATCCCTCCTGATGGGACTATAAGGGACTCTCCAGGTCACAGAGAGGAGAAAGTTAAAAGCAAGCAGGAGAAACTGCTATAAACCGCAGCCCCATCCATCATAGTGACAGAGCTCTGGCCTCCCAGCCCAGGGGGCTTCCAGGAAGAACAAAGGCCAACAAAGATGTCAGCACATACCACTGAGCCTGTCTGTCACCATTTCCCAGGGACCCCTGCTGCCGTGGCCTCTGCCGTCTGGTCTTTCCACTCCAAAGAGGCAGGCAGAGGGAGGGTCCCCATTACTCCTCATCTTTCCCTCACACATCACACCACCAAGTTGCAGAGCAACACCGGGCTCCCAGAATGGCAGTTAAGCTAAAGATGGAAGGAGAGATAAAAGATCATGTCTGACCATAGGGAACCCTGAGAGACCATTTGAGTGCGTGGACATCAACTGTGGGGTGGGTGCTGTAGAGGCAAGAGCCTGGACATGGCGGGGGTGTAGAGCTGTCACCCAATTGCTACACCACCATAGCAGTTTCCTCTAAGATAAAACCTTCCATCTTGGAAGGGAACTCCTCAATAGGATATTCTAAAAAGGAAGTAAGCAATTCAATAGCTTCAGGAAGTCTCCAAAACTGACCAGGTTCGCTAGGCCCCTCCCTCCCAAGGACATATAAGCTCAAAACCTGCTAAGTGGCTCTCTCTGTCCAACCCAGCTGTCTGAAAGAAACAGAGACCAGACCAGCCAAGTTGACTGGATGATGCTCAGACCACCTGGGAAGGACACTCTCCAGCCTTGGCTGCCTGCAGGCTGTGCAGTTCATTCTGGTTCCCTGCTTCGATGAGCTGTCACCCATGCTGGGGGTGAGCCATGGTGTGACTTCCTTCTGTGAGTCATTCCTGGTCCTGTAGGTAACTCACCTGCACTCCTGTCAGTAACCCCAAAAGCTCATTGGTTCACCAAGTTGGACTTTGATGGTAACCTGACTTTGGTCCATCTTTGGTTCCCTCTCTGCAGTGAGCGGACATTTGCTCACATTTCCTTAGGAAGTATCACCCAACGCCAAGTTTTAAGGGTCAAATCCTGCGCCTTAGCAATCCCCAAGGTCTAGGCTTTGCCACCAGCCCCTAATACTGTGCCAATTAAAGAACTGAGAAAAGCGGAGAGAGGAGATTATCCAAGGTAGCCCACTGGGAGGAGAAGCAAACGGGGTCAGTGAGGTGGCTCAGCAGATAAGGATGCTGCCAACCTGACAACCTGAGTTTGATCCCCAGGACCCACATACTAGGAGGAGAGAACCAACTCCCTCAGTTGTCCTCTGACCTCTGCGCTGTGCCATGGCACGTGTGTGCCCACCCCCAATAAATAAATAAATAAATAAAATTAATGTAATTTAGAAATGCAATCATATTTAAAAAAGCAGTAAAAAACGAATAATCCAGCGACTTCAAGTCCATCTTCAAGGTATAAACATTCATACATATTCAAAATATGCCTACAACAGTCCAATGTTCTGATATGGAGAAAAAGAGGTTTCCTCACCCAGAAGGGAACCCCCATAATCAATGGCCAGCTTATTCATGATGTGTTGGAAGCTGTCCAATTACCAACAAGGACGGCCTGGCCGTTATTCACTGTAAAGGACATCAAAAGAACAGAGAGTATATCTCCACAGTCAGTAAGAAGGCCGGCCGACCACCTGGCTAAGGACATCACTCAGCTGTCTTTCTCCAGCAAGATAGATGTTGAATTTAAAAGGAGACAGTGTAGGGTGGCCCCTAGTTTTTTAGTAAATCCCATCCTAAGAGGGACAAGGGGCACTCAAGTATGAGGCAGTGTGCTATTAATTGATAGCTAATTGTCGGAATGTACAGGGGACCCTGGGAGTGAGTCGTGGAAAGTGAGGGATAACCGAGACTCCAGTTGAACCTCACCTCCGCAAAGACTGTAGTCACAAAAACCTCTTCTGAAGTCCAATATTCTTTGCGGCCTTCACCCCCTTTTCCACATAGATAATACCTCCCCCGTGTGCTTCCTAAACACACAGTTCCAGCTGACCCCACAAGACAAACAGTCCTTTCAGGAACACACTATCTCCTGCCAGTTCTGTCGGTGATTCCCCCAAATACTGACATCGGCCTCCTTCCCTGCCCTACGCATCAGGCTAGAGGGCACCTCCCATCCCAATGACCTGGACTTCCTCAGACAACTACCCTTCCGTGCATGAGTGGGCTGAGTGAACCCAAGTCACCTCATTCTAACAATGAGGTAGGATCGTTGTTTGGGGGATTGTTGCTGGAGGGAACGAGAGCCACCAAAGGTCTGCCTTGACCACCCTGGGGGCAGTCCACCTTCCAGTGATCCCACTATCTACAGAGCAGACAGGCCTTAGAGGGGCCATGGGTTCAGGTAAGCCTTTGCCTGGTGCCTTGAATTGCCACAGTAGAAGCACACTCTGGGAGATGTCCACTAGGAGGTCATGGGACTGGGGTGACCTCCTGAGGTGGTCGGTTCTAGAGGACCGAAGCCAGCAGTTGGTACTTGGCCTTTAATGTTTTTCTTTTCCCTTTTTGCCTCATCCTCTAGATTATTAAAAACTTTAAATGCTACATTTAGAAGTTCCTGTTGTGGGGTCTTAATTTTTTCAGACGTCAGGAGCTGACTGGGTGATAATTTGGACCTGAAGGAAGAGGGTGCTTGGAGATGTGGAGAGGCCTAAGTTGGTATATTTGGTAATAGCTTGGTAAGCGCGGCCATGAACAGGGCTGGATTTTCATCTGTGCAAGTTTGTCATAGCTCACCTGTGTGTGGGTATTCATTTGCATGTCCTCTAGGAGGCAGGTGACCTTGTGGTTGATGCGGACGTTTCCCGGCATTGTTCAGCTGGTAAATCCAGGTTCAGCAGTGGGAAGGTGTGCAGGACAGCTTTAGTGCCAACTTGACTCACCTGGGTTGAGGGAGCCTCAACTGAGGAATTTCCTTCAGTGGACTGGCCTGTAGCCATGTCCATGGGGAACCTGCTTGATTGTTGAGTGATGTGGGAGGGCCCAGCCCACTGTGGGTGGTGCCATCCCTGGGCAGGTGGGCCTGTG